ACAATGTATAAATATGGATGAGTTGAAATATTTTTATTTCACAACCAATGTATATCATAACTATTCTCCTTATTTTATCAAAATTCTCTCAATTTCCATAGTTCATTATTTTTTCCTATTGTTTATTTTCCTTAATATTGGAATTATCTATTGTTTTAATTTTTTAGTTTTCCTTTACAATCCAATTCCAAATTCTTTCTCTAATCTAAAAATTTTTCCATTCAATAAATTATTCATTTGATTTTTTTTTAAATAATTTTCTTAGGTAATTTAAAATAATAATTTCCAACTCATTCCATTAATTTTATATTCCATTTATAGTTTTTTCTATATTAGTGAATTAGCAAAATTTGTAAATTTAATGTAATAATAGTTCTATAGTTAGTTAATACGAAGTTATTTCTTTTAAAATTTTTTATAATAATTTAATTTAGTTAATAAAATTTAAACATTTTAAAAATTTAGTTATTGTATTTATGAATTTGGAATCCATAAATTTTATTTATTTTTTTTAAAAAATTTGCGTAATTTATTTATGAATTTGGAATCAAAATTTTATTATTTTTTTAAAAATTTGCGTAATACCGGAACCGAATCGGAACCGTAATTCGAACCGTCGGTTTGCCAGAACCGTGCCAGAATCGGAACCAAAACCGAAACCGAAGGTTCAAAGGTTGGTTCCGGTTCAAAATTTTAAACATCTCGAATCGGCGCGGTTCACTGAACCGGCCATGTCTATAAGTAGTAGCGGCTTCAAAGGATAATAGGAAATGGGAATTTGCTTTTTAGCTTTCTAGGAAATCAATAAATCACCAAGTATAGACAAGATAGCCAATCACAAATTTATGGGTATGAACAGAACCAGCCAATTTGAGTCACTAATGTTGGCGTGAACAATTTAAGGAGAAAGAAATCTGCTATCAAACTTTGACAGATTGTGCATATAATAATCTGTTTCCTTAATTGTAAATATTTATCTTTGATTTAGGCTGTAAATTAGGATCTTAAGTTGTACGAAACCAATATTTGTAATTGCTGAAAAGTAAAGATATGAAAACAAAATTATTCCCAATTATCTTTTCTACAACTAAATGCTTTAAGTTGGTCAGTAGAAGTTGGAAGAAACACATTAATGGAGTCATCGCTTTCTGTTTGATTTTGGAAATCCATTGACAACCGATAGGGATTTTCAGTTTCTAAAAGGAAAATTACTATGTCTTTATATATTGGTAAAGCACACTAGTTAGAACTTACTTCTGTCAATTTTTATGATTTTCCATTAAATTACTATAAAAAGACGAAAATACCTTAATATAAACTCTATTTGTAAATTCCAAAAAAAAAACAAAATAAATTCATAAAAAAAAACTCAAAATAAAAAAATTAAAAATGAGTAAATTAATTTATTTAGTTTTTTTTGTCAGAAATAAATTAATTTTTAGTATAATTTTAATTAAATTAATTCCACCAGTAAACTAATCTATGGGTAAAAGCACACGAAATAAAAAAAAATAAAAAAAATGAAAACTACTGTCGAGATGGACAGAGTTCTTTTCTTCTTTAACCCATGAAATCTTTAACCTCTCAAAACCCCAAAAAAAAGGACCCGTGAAAAAAATGCAAAAAAGTCCAACAAGGCATTGAATGCTAAAGAAAGTAAACTACTGTCAGCATGGTCGAAGAGTTTTTTTCTTATCTAACCCATAAAATCTTTAATCTCTCAAAACTCAAAAAAAAAAAAATAACCCCGTGAAAAAAATGCGAAAAAGTCTAACAAGGCATTGAATGCTAAAGAAAGTGGGGTAAGAGGGAACACAGTTGTTGTCTCTCATGCGGTGGTTCTTTGTCTTAAATCTAGATTAAAAATTCCCTGTACATTATATTGCAACAATGCCATAGAAATTTCATCATTTTCCATACAATCCAAAATCACTATATGTAATTTTGGGTTTCAAAAGTGAAGTAAGATGTTATTCCCTCACTCTCTCTCTCTCTCTCTTCTTCTGAAAAATTAAAACCTCTCTTTTCTTTTTCCACGAGCAGCCACGGGTGAGAACCATTTCCTTTTTTTTTTTTTTTAGTTTTTTTGCAAATAATCTTTAAATTTATTTACAGATTTATTTATAGATCTGAGTTATTATTGCCCATATATTGAGATTTTATCCTCAAATCTAGTTCTGAGTTATTGTTATTACCATTATGGTGATTTCAAATCTAGTTCTAAGTTATTGTTATCACCATTATGGTGATTTGTCTAGCATCTTTTACTATTTAGATAGTTACGCAGAAATGAGTGCAGATCTCATCTCCAATAGAAAGAAGAAATTTGAAGGTAATCAGATCGGACTTGTAGAAAAACCATGGAGTCTAATAGTGGCCATGAATAGCCACCAAGTGGAGCAAGTGATCTCCTATCGCACAAATATTATACTCTGTCAACTCGGGTTAAATACTTCAAATCAAGATTGAGTTTTTTTTTTTTTTTTTTTTTAGTTTTTTTTTTTTTTTTTTTTGTATAAAGTGATTTATTTATTAAGCCTTCCTTAATATAAAATATAGAAATCATATTGATCTGTTCTTCATAATCTTAATAACAATTTTTCAAATTAATGAAATTCTAGTTTGATTTTTCTCCCTAAATTTTTTTTTTTTTTTTTTTTGTATAAGTGATTTATTATTAAGCTTCCTATATAAAAATATAGAAACATATTGATCTGTATCTCATATCTTAATACAATTTTCAATTAATGAAATTCTAGTTTGATTTTTCTAAAAAAAATAAAAAATCACAATATGCATCATTTTAAACAAAAAATGCTTCTCACTCTCGTTTACCAATTTGTATCTATTGACTTCCTCTCCGAAAACAACTGAGTAGGGAAGACGTTTGAGGATACCAATGAAATTGAGAAGAAGAAAGAGAATTAATCAAGGAGATGGTGGAGACTATGAAAACACGAGTAGATGAAGTTGCTCTGTTGTGAATTGGAAAGTGTGGTGTTTTATTGAGAGGAAGGCTAAGGAAGGTGAAAAACCCAAGAAGAAGCGAAGGGTGAGGAAGATGAAGAGGGAATAGAGAAAACGGTTGAAGAGCGGAGAGCATAGTAAGGTTAAATACTCAAGGTTATTTTAGTCATAAAAACTTTCTCTCCCCTTTGATTATATTTTAGTGTTTTGATTCACGACAAAACACATAAAATGGAATGAGTCAAATGTCTAATGGACATGACTTTCAGATATAATCATGTATTTTACAAAAAAAAAAAAAACAGATCTATCTTGAGAGGGTATTTAATCGATACATATGGACGTAATAGTAATTTTTTCATTTCTAAATGCAACTATAAGTACTAGGCTAACCAACGTATTGACATGTTTTGGCTCTAATCAAAACGCAATGCGGTAATTTAAATTTAAATATATATGTAAAACACACTAAAATATTATATATAATAAATATAATTTTGTTTGGCTTGATTAATTTAATCTGTTGATTACTAAGATCCAACTAAATAAAATAATTGAAATTTAACAAAAATAAAAATTAAATTCAACCAAATTGCATGAAAAAATAAAACAAATTACAAAAACAGAATCAGTTTAATTTAATTTCAGATTAACCGATTTGTTAAACTCTAGCAATAATGTCATGTTTCCGGAAAGTTCTGCTTTGCATTCGTCTAATAAATTATGACTCATCACATGAGTTTTGTGTGGACCCAATTTCCGCTTCTTTTCTGGTAAGTTACCTAATAAAAAGAAAATTCATCTATTCGGAAAAAAACTATAAAATAAAGGAATTTGAGGCTGATATATAATTTACTTAAAAATTAAGTCTTATAATATAATTATTAACTCATTTTTATACTAAATAAATAAATATGCCAATTTTTAGAAAAAAAAATTGTTCTAGATCGAATATATTAATATATATAGTCAAACATATTTATGATTCTAGAATTTTTTTTTAAACAAATCATTAACTCAATTTCATATTAAATAAATAAATAGGCCAATTTTTTTTTAAAACGAAAATATCTGACTTCAATAAAATATATTAAAAAATTTTAAATCAAATATTCAATATAACCAAATATTTTTATAATTCTAAAATTTTTCAACTAATCAAATATTTTATTTAATTATTTTTAAATAAAATACCACACAATTCTTAATTTTTTAATTTTTTATATATTTTTGAATAACTTTTTCTTTTTTAATTTTTGAATTTTAAAAATAACTTTTACAATTAAAATTATTATTTTATTTTTCACTGAAAATTGGACAGTTTTATTCACCAATGCAAAGTTTAGATGATAAATTAACCTTTAAACAATGGAATAAAACTCAGTTTGCTCCCTAAAATTGGGATTAATATTCAGTTTGCTCAAAAATTAATTTTTTATATAATTTACCACTTGAATTTGCATAAAAAGAACAAAAAAAAAATCCAATTTTAAGAATTTTAATTTAAATCAAATATAATTAAAAACAATAAAATATTTGATTAGATCAAATACAATTAAGAAACAATTAAAAATAACAATAAATACTTTTTAAACCAAATATTCATATAATCAAAAATTTTCGAAACCGTAATTTTTTGTAAATCAAAGATTAAAAACTATAATTTTTTATGTTTTTAAATAAATTTTTTTCATAATTTTAAACTTTTAAAATACTTTGATTAGTTAAAAATAATAAAAAATATTTTTTTAACAATTGGCCCTTTATTATTTTGGTGCAAATTTAAGGGTAAAAATTTATTTTTAAAAAACTAAATATTGCTCCCAAGTTCAGCTTTATTCCTTAAATAAATTATAATATATCTTATTAAACTTTATTCCTAAAAAAAATATAGACAAAAAGCAGTGACAATTACCAAACAACCATACAAAGTACATAAAAATAGCTAGTTGTGACTTGTGAGCCTTAATTGAATGAACATGCATCTCCATTCTGCATTTAATGGATATGTCTGCATCACCTAACCTCTTTATATTCAATACACATACGACAACTTCCTAGTTGCTATTCCTAGATATATATACATATTGTAGAGAGAGAGGGAGAGAGAGGTAGTATTGATAATCAGGAGCAATGGATCACCAAGAAATAGAAGCAAGCTTGGAAGAACTCAGAAAAACATTCAGAAGTGGAAAAACAAGAACTGTTGAGTGGAGAAAAACTCAGCTTAGAGCTCTGATTCAGTTCTTTAATGATAATGAAGAGAACATATTTCAAGCCCTTAATCAAGACCTGGGAAAGCACCCTGTTGAATCTTACAGAGACGAGGTAATTAGTCTATGTATATATATTGTTCTTCTGTTATGTAATTGGATACTTAATTTTTCTTTTAGATTAATTTATGAGCATTATATGAGTTGTTTTATTTGATTTTATTATTTTGTGATTATAGTAGTGTTTCTTATTTGAAAGAATTTGTGTTAAAGCTCCTATCATTTCAACATAATTATATATTTTTATTAAATATATTTCTTTATATAGAAATATATTTAATAAAAATGAATTCAACTGAAAAAATTTTAGATTTTATTATGACAAAATCAATTAATTTGGTTCGATTTGGTCAATTTTACTGATTATTTTTTCTGTCAGTCTTACGCCGAGACTTTTCATTCCTCAGCTCTCTTGACGGATAATAATTCCTTTATCCCAAAATATAAGTCATGGTTTTAGGTGATTGTTTTGTGCCAAATTATAAATTTTATTATCTATTTTAAAGAGTAATAAATAATTTTTTAAAAAAATTTTACCCTTATTTATGGTAGATAAAATAACTATTTGTATGAGGATAGGATAAAGACTAATTTGCCATTACTTTTATTATAATTTAGGATAAAAATTTTAAACGATTTATATTTTGATACATGGACTATTTTATTTTTGATTTTTTAAAGTCGAAGCACGGACTATTTTATTCTTGATTTTTTAAAGAACTTCGACTTTGTTTAATTTTTGATTACTTTGTTGCTTGTAGGTTGGAGTGGTACTAAAATCTGCAAACAATTCTTTGAGCTGTATAGAGAAATGGATGGCTCCTAAAAAGGTACGTATCAGAGAAATTAACCTAAATATTTAAAATCAAGAACAGGGTTTCTAACAAACCAACAATATTTTGGACTTTGAGCAGAGTCATATACCATTGCTTATGTTCCCTGCAAGTGGACAAGTAATCCCTGAACCATTCGGTGTCGTTTTGATATTCGGTTCTTGGAATTTCCCTATCAGTAAGTCCAATCAATTGAGTTATTTCATACTATTTCACGAATCAAACAAGCTATATGAACAACGACCTTAAATGGTTGCAGCAATGGCATTGGACCCATTGATAGGAGCTATATCTGCAGGAAACACAGTGCTCTTGAAACCTTCAGACCTGTCACCAAAATGTTCTTCTTTTCTTGCTAATACACTCCCAAAATACTTGGATTCCGAAGCTATTAAGGTCATTGAAGGTGGAATAAATGTTTGTGAACAAATTCTACAACAAAAGTGGGACAAAATATTCTTCACTGGTATGTATCTTGTTATCATATTTATATATTTTTTTTTTCTTTATTTTTTTATCTAAACAGGTAGACAGATTTTTTTAGTAGGAACAAAATTTCTCTTTTAACTCTTAACCAATATAAAAATACTTTCAAATTTGAGTCAAACATATTATGTCAACCGTGTTATCAGAATCTTATAATTTACAATTCAATCTAGAAGAAGAAGAGCAAAAGGACAAAATTACATTATTAGAGATGAAGATATGAAGATAATGAAGGGTTTGAATTCATTTGGAAATGATATTGAATTGATATGGATTTGGATATAAAACTTAATGGTTTGCTAGTTTATTGATTTTTTTTTAAAGAAAAAATTAACTTAGTAGTTCCATGTTTTGAACTTAGCAAATATACAAGTCATTAGGCTCTCTTGCATTTTGTGTTTAGTACATGATTTGAAATTGAAATGTACATTATTTGCAATTAAATTTTTTGTATCTTTGATAAAATATATAAGACTTCCTCAATAAATGCTTGCCAAAATCTTAATTATAATGTATCTTCAGGCAGCCAACGTGTGGGGCGAGTCATAATGACAGAAGCTGCAAAGCATTTAACACCTGTTACTCTAGAGTTGGGTGGAAAATGTCCTCTTGTGTTGGACACTGCCACCGTTTCTTCTGATATGAAGGTATTTTTATTTACTTGATCTATTAAACAGTGAATTCTATAATGTAGAGATATATATATATGAGATTGATTCTTGATTTATTTGTTGGATTGAAGATTGTAGCCAAAAGAATTGTCGGAGGAAAATGGGGGCCATGCAGTGGACAAGCATGCATTAGTGTAGATTATGTTCTTGTAGAAGAGAAGTTTGCTTCATATCTGGTAATACTGATTGTTTTGGAATTTAATATCTAGAAATCTTTAGGTTTCGATTAACATTTTCTGTTTTTCAGATAGACTCACTGAGCAGGATAATCAGAAAATTTTATGGCGAAAACACGAAAGAATCAAAATCCCTTAGCAGAATTGCGAACATAAAAGCCTTTGACAGGTTATCTAGTGTTATTAAAGATCCTCTTGTTGCAGCTTCCATTGTTCATGGCGGTTCAACTGATGAAGAAAAACTGTGAGTTTATTTATTTTAAAATTCCTTCAAGTAACTTGAGATGATTTGCATTTTAGGTGTAATTAGGACTTTGAAGGTATTAATTTGCCTAAAGTTACAAAATCCATAGCATGGGTCTAAGCAATGTTACTCGGAAACTTTCTTTGGCTGTAGTTTCCGCGTTTGAAGACATTTCCTGCACGGAAATGCTTGGAAACTCTTCGGAAACATTTTAAGGCTGTTTCCGTAAATTGAGTAATTTGAGTATACCTCTCATAGATGTGTTTCCATAAATCGGAAACTCTTAAAAACTAATTTTTCTAATTGAAATAAATATAAAAATAAATACAAATTTACAAAACATGCAGTAATTTGAGTATACCTCTCATAGATGTGTTTCCATAAATCGGAAACTCTTAAAAACTAATTTTTCTAATTGAAATAAATATAAAAATAAATACAAATTTACAAAACATGCATTTTTATGAGCATGGAACTTATAATTCTTTTGGATATAATTAAATGATTAAACTTTACTTGTTTGTGGATATATTTAATGGTTTACAAAAATTTTTTTTATATTTACAAATATAACCTTATATTTTTCATATTACGGCTGTTTCCGTAAATTGAGTAATTTGAGTATACCTCTCATAGATGTGATGTCTTCCTGCACGGAAATGCTTGGAAACTCTTCGGAAACATTTTACGGCTGTTTCCGTAAATTGAGTAATTTGAGTATACCTCTCATAGATGTGTTTCCATAAATCGGAAACTCTTAAAAACTAATTTTTCTAATTGAAATAAATATAAAAATAAATACAAATTTACAAAACATGCATTTTTATGAGCATGGAACTTATAATTCTTTTTTTTTGATATAAATTAAATGAGTTTAAACACTTAGTAATTTGAGTATACCTCTCATAGATGTGTTTCCATAAATCGGAAACTCTTAAAAACTAATTTTTCTAATTGAAATAAATATAAAAATAAATACAAATTTACAAAACATGCATTTTTATGAGCATGGAACTTATAATTCTTTTTGATATAATTAAATGATTAAACTTTACTTGTTTGTGGATATATTTAATGGTTTACAAAAATTTTTTTTATATTTACAAATATAACCTTATACTTTTCATATTTACGTGTTTCTCTCAAGTTTCTGTTTTTTATATTTTTAAAAATACTGTTTTTCCGTGTCCATTTTCACATTTTCACGCTTCCATGTCTCCATTTCCATGCAACATAGGGTCTAAGCCTCATGTTCAAATAAAAGCTAAGGAAAGTTGTGATCTTGAGCTAAAATCTTGCAGGTTCATTGAGCCAACAATCTTGTTAAATCCTCCACTTGATTCAGAGATCATGACTGAAGAAATCTTTGGTCCTTTGCTTCCAATTATCACAGTAAACAACAAGAATCATCTTTTTGATGTGTTTTTAAGTTTTTTTTTCCCTCTTTATTTCAATATAACTACTCTATATATGTATTTATGCAGGTGAATAACATTCAAGAAAGCATTCAATTCATAAGCTCTAGACCAAAACCTCTTGTCATTTATGCCTTCACAAAGGATGAAACATTCAAGAGGCAAATTTTAACTCAAACATCTTCAGGAAGTGTGGTTTTCAATGACACTATGGTCCAAGTAATGCACTAACTCTATTCTTTTTCCCTATTGATTCACATAAGAGTAAAATTGAGTCATGACACAAGCTTTCCTTGATTTACTTGATAACACTCGAGATAAGATACTTAGCATTTTAACATAACTTCTGATAAAGAAGCATTTTATAAAAGATTAACCCTTGTAACGTTTAATTTTTATTGTTTTATGAAAAATTATTCAAATAGCTACTAGCTACTCTGCTAAACACTACTAAAACAGCTAACAACTACCAAACATTTAATTTTACCGAACAGATCCAATATTTATTTTAATTTCTTCTTTCTGTGGTTGTAGTTTGTATGCGATGAATTGCCATTCGGAGGTGTTGGTCATAGTGGATTTGGAAGGTACCATGGGAAATATTCTTTTGACACTTTCAGCCATGAAAAAGCAGTCATGCAAAGAGGTTTCTTCCCTGAGCTTGAGCCAAGGTATCCTCCATGGAATAATTTCAAGCTAGAATTTATTAAATTGGCTTACAGTTTTAACTATCTTGGTTTATTACTACTACTGCTTGGACTGAAAAAATAGTTTTTGGATCAAGCTATATATATGTAAGGCATCAAGACATGAACTTATTTATATGGTTGAAGAATAAAAGTTAAAATAAAATAATATGTAGTACTATACAAGTGATTGTATCCTGGCTTTGATTTCTTCTTGGACCTGCACTCCACTAAATTCACCTTATTCTAATTAAATAATACAAAATCTTTATATTAATTTAATTGTGGTCATGGACTTCTTTTTCATTCTAAAAAGAATTAGCATTAGACTATGTTTGGATTGAGGATATTACAATTCATGGAATTTGTTATAAATGATTTGTACATATTTTCTTGTTTGATTCCAAAATTAAATCCGTGAAATCAAATAGTAATAGGCTAATTTTGCTCGAGTTTGTCTATATGTTTTTACAGGCCAAATGTACAAAATGACTCGTGTACTTTTGGCAAAAAATTCATTTATACTTTTAACTTTTATTTTTGATTTATATGTTAAACGCTTTTAATTTATAAAATTGCACCGTATTTTATATCTCAACTTCCAAAAGATTCTACTGAATGCTCCAATTCCAATTAATCTATTAAACACTTAGGCCATGTTCGGTACCAGTTTTAGTATTTTGATGAAGTTAAAACTCTATTTCTATTAATTGTATGATTCGTTAACATAGTTTTTGTAATAACTTTTAGAGGTTAAGAAAATTTTTTATAAAACAAAGTACCTAAACTTTAGGGTTTTATAAAGATTAATTAATTTTTTTTTATAATCATACTCTTTTTTTTCCCCCAAATTCAGCAAATTAAGATTGTGTTCGACAACAGTTGTTTAAGTAGCTTTTAGAGTTTTGATCAGTCAAAATGATAAACGCTACTTTTTATAGTGTTCAATAATATAGTATTTGAACTAACTATTAGAGGTTAAGATAATATTTTGTGAAAAGTTTAACTCATATAACGTTTAGCTTTTAGTGTTTCATAAAAAGCTACTCAAAAAGTTAACGGCTAAATATTACTAAAATATCCAATAGCTACCAAAACATCTAATATTGCCGAACATACCTTAAATAACTAATTGTCTTTATTTTAAGTTAAACTTTTTTTTTACCAAACACTTCTAATTTAAACCAGCTAATAGCTATTAGAACAACTATCAGTTACTACAAGCAGCTAATATTGCAGAACATGTCTTTAATGGACAGTTGGAAGTTTTTAAAAATTTTAAAAATTGTATTAAGTACAGATTAAATCCATATTTTGCAAATCAAAGTCTATAATGCTAAATGCTTCGTTCAACAAAATTAGCAGTTTTAGTAGTTGAAATTAACTGTTTTAGTAATTGTTAGTTATTTTGCTACTAAAATTAGGTGTGACCAAAGTTTGGTTCTGAATCGAAATCGAATCGAAACTAAACTAGTCAAAACTGGAACCAAACTGTGGTCAGCAATTCAAGGTTTCAAACCGTAACCAGAATCGAGTATGTAAGGTTTGGCTGCGATTTTTTTACATTTGAAAATTAAAACCAGCAGTTTTGGTTTGAAACTGGTGGTTCTGGTTTGCAACCGTTAAAAAAGAAAAAAAAGATCACACGTGATTTTTAATTGTTAAAATTAATTTTAATTTTCATCATTAAATGCAATAATTTTATTATTATTTAAAATTTTTTAATATAAATATAACTTTCTAAATTGTAAGTGGAAAAAGAGAAAAAATAAAAAAAAATGTTCCTCATTTAAATAAATATATTTTAATTTAATATATATTTTTTACATACAAATTGTACTATTTATTTAAGATTTATTTTTTAAACTCTAAATAAAATAAAAGACATATTTCTCATTTCCATCGGTAAAAAAAAAGGAAATTTGAAGCCAAAGCAGGGCCCATATTCGAAGCTGTAATGACTAAACTGTTTCGTGTAACGCATCTCTGTCTCTTATTTGCGTCTGTCATTTGCCTTTCCGTAGTCAGGATGAGCCCACCTATCCCGAGAAGGGGACCTTTGCTTGGCTTTCTTCTGGCTTGCTTTTCGTCCTCTTGCGAGAAAAAATCATAATATGTGAAAGGTTCCCCGATTGAATACAAAGTTTAACATCCTGAACGAACTGCTTTCCTCATCTTTTTCGATTTTGATACTGGCTGGCCCATAAGAAAAGATCAAGGCCGGGTCCTTCCATTCGGTTGAGCGCCTTAGAGAGCAACAATTCTAATTTTTTGAAATAAAAAAATTATATCGTAACATTTTTTAACTTTTGATTCAAATAGAAAGATATTTTCCCTTTATAACAGAAAAAAAAAAAAGCTATTTGAAGGGTATATTTTGGAGTAAAATATTCATATTGTGATATTTTTTGTTAATTGATAAATAAAACTAAAGAACTTTTTTCTACCTTATAACGGTAAAAAGAAAAAAAAAAGGGAAACTAAAAAAGGTTTAAAAAAACTTGAAAACCTGGTGATTGTTGTGGACGTGGATGTGTTTGGTGCGTGTGGGATGTTTATTAAACTAGAGGCTTATAACGAGCTTTACAAATCTCAATCCTACCTCTGCAATTCTGAGACCTCCTCTGGATTATGATTTTTTTATATTTAATGTTTTAAAATTTTTTGATTTATTTATGTTACTTGGGATATCTGGTTATGTTGTTGTTGTAAGAATTTGCGATTATTTAATGAGTTAAAAGAAAATTCTTCTATAAAATTTTTTTAGAATTTTTTTTGTACTATTTTATTCTTCTGTGAATGAATTGTGATAAGCCATTATCTACAAATTATTTTTTTTTTTAATTGCATAATTTGTAACATCTCTAGGCATTTTGATGTCTCAAACAGCTATAAAGTAGTTGAATTCAGTATGTTCCTAGGTTTTTTTTTTTTTTTTTTTTTTTTTTTTTTTTTTTTTTTTTTTTTTTTTTTGCTGCTAAATTTTACCCGATAAATAATTATGTTATGTTTTTTTATTAAATTTTACTCGATTATGGCATAATTTTAGATTTTTTATTCCTTGAAATACTCAATGTGCTTAAATAATACTACTGACGATACAACATAAGTAATCATCTTTTAATTCACCAAGTAATTAGAGATAATTTATATAAAATATAAAATTCAAGGATGTTATAACATTTTTATTGTAAAGCTCGAGTTTGAGAGAATTGATTTTCTATTGTTCCAGGTTAAACAAATCGAAAAGAATATGCAAAACATAATAAATAAATAAAAAAAAAAAAAAAAAAGGGGGAAGACCAGTTTGTGGCTCTTTATTACATTAAAAAAATGCGTCTAATAAATTAACGGGGATACGAGGCGCAATCTCTATAAGAATGATACTCTTAACGTGTCAAAACATAAATCGTGTTTTAGGGTAGTTTTTTCCTTGATCTCAGTAAATAGGAAGGAAGGAAAATAAGGAATAATTAAACTATTCATTTTCCTTCATTATTTTCCACTTATGTTTGGATTGGAAGGAAAACAAATAGAGGAAATAAAATAAAATATTTCTTTTTTTAAGAAAAGAAAATTGTATGATTGTACATTTACATTTTTGCCTTATATATATATATTAAACATTGTAGCGCATTTTGCAATTAAATTATAATTGATTAATTATAATGAATTAATGAATAATAAATTAAACAATTAGGGTTGCAAGGTGTGGGTGCACCGTATGTTACATAAAAAAAAATGAAAGAAAAGCAGATAAAATTATTAAATTAGACGTTGACGAGCTCATTACTGCCTTTTATTACCATCATTCAAGCTTAAATACATTACAGCTCAGTCAATCACTACCTTTTATAGACAACCACTAAATAAATTTCAATTAATAAATGTTTAACAAAATGAAAAATAAATAAATCTTAATCATTAAATAAGTAATTACTTTTTTCCATTTTTTTTCAAGTTTTGTTTTTTAGAATTATGTTTAAGAGAAAATTTTTATTTAAAAAAAAACTCACAATTATGTAATATTGTAGTTTTTCTCATTTATAATTTACATTTTAGGCTAGATGTGGACATGATCATTGTTTGATATTGAGTCAATATTCATCATTTGCATTTTCTCTTTCATTCATTTAACATAATCCTTCACCATCACCGATCTTGCCAATAATTTATGATTTCGATTTATCACCATTGATCTCATATGATCAGGCTTCATCTAATTTATGATGTCATAAAAATTCTGTGTCAAGATTGTTTTGAAAAAGTCATATAGTTTCCTACTAAAGATGAAAGCGGGGCAGGTATTAATATCTACCTTATCTCTATTCTCCAAGAGATATAACAAGAAACTTTTCAATTATACAAATATTATTCTCCTCTATTCTTTATATTCAAATTATGTTCAAATTATATTCAACCTATAATTTTTCTAATATAATTATCACCCCAATATAATAGTGTTTCAATCCCAAAACCACTAATTGCCTTTGTTATCTTTTACTTTTATTTTATTCTACTTGCCAAAACCACTAATTGCCTTTGTTATCTTTTACTTTTATTTTATTCTACTTGGTCCATAGACTTAGTCTGACTTATTAAACATCCTACATGTACTAGAATCTTAATTATATTCTGTCTAATACACTCACTACATACTAAACTTTCACCATATTAATTCCTAGATTATACTAACTATCCCTTAATTATATATACCACCCTCGTAATTCTATAAACGATTCAACCTAATTACCCAACTTATCATTTTTCTACCAGACATTCCTTTATATTCCTGAATGTCCTTAAGATTAGGTCCATAACTTTTTCATTACTTGTAAATACTCCTATTAACTATTAGCCAATCTTTTTATCAATTTTTGATCAATTTGTTTTAAAATTTATTCTCATATAAGCATAGTGAGATCAACGCGAACCACAATTTTTCCTACACTCGTGAAATCCCAAAATATAAAAACATTTATCTTAGATCCTCTGATGTATTATTATTCCTGTGTGCATCAAATCTTCTAACAGTTATTCTTAATTTGTCAAACCTCTAAATACTAGCTATCTTCATTTAAATCACATTAATTCATACTCCTCACCTTTATGTATTTGATTCTTTTCTTAATATTCATTCAATAACAGGACTAGATTCATTCGCTATTCGTATTTGTATCTATTTGAATTTTCTACTATTTATATTCATTCTAAACCCGTCAAAATATCCATTTAAGTACTTATATTTGAATCCATTTAAATTTTTATATCCATACCCGTCCAAAATCCATTTAAAATACCCTTATATGCGTAAGTACCTATGAATTTTAAACTATCTAAATCCGAATTTATTTAAAATGCAATTTTTACTAATAATGGATAGGATATTCCTGGCTACCCATTGCCAAATTCATTTAATGTAGCGGGCAATGGATAACGGCTACCCAAATACCTATACCCGTGCACTATCCATATCCATAACAAGTAGTAATTTCATTATCTATATCTGTCTCAAGCCCATTTATAACTACCCATATTCTTTTCAAACGAATCGAGGTGGATCGGATACTCTAAAATATCTGCACCGCTTCCATTGCTACTTCCTACAAATGTATATATCTTAAAAAAAAAAAATTATGGGAAACAGAAAAAAAAATTGGATGGAAATAAAGTCTCATATATTATATGAAGATCATACCTACATAGACTATGGCTATGTATATGAAAATTTTATATTACATGAATAATACTAATATATTAGAATTTATCATCATTAGTTTCTAAAATTTGCAAAGGCATTATGTTAAGACATCTATCTATTTATATATATATAATAATATTATAATATAATAAACTATTATAGAAATAGAAATAATACAAATGTGTAATTTAACAGTAATCTTAAGATGGACATAAAAAAATAAATAATACAATATTTATTTATATAAAAAAATTATACAAATACGTAATTAAAATAATTTCGAGATGGACATGAAAAGAAAATAATACAAGAACATGATTTGTTTTATTGCCATTTGCTTGTGAATAGTGATTGTTTACGTTGTGAATGCGAGATTTTCTCTCCAAAAAGGAGAAAAAGCAAGTTGGTGGGGCCTAAGAAAAAAATAAACAATATTTTTCTTCCTTCATAATTTTCCACGTGTTTCCAAATAAAATATTCTTATTTTCCTTTCAAATTTTAACTCCGCGTGTTCTTTCCTTCCAAAAAATAATCCAATCCAAACGGACTGTTAATGCTATGTTTGAAGAGAAGAAGGAAATATGAGAGGAAATAAAATTAGAGATAAAAATAAAAAAAGATTATTATTATTTATTTTTTCTCTTTATTTTTCATTTTATGTTTGGTTTGGAAAGAAAATAAAGAGAGGAAGAAATTTTCACTCCATCTCTATCACTTTCTCTTCAATTTAGAGAGATTGAGAAATAATGGGGAGAATGGAAAATATTGAAAATTTTCTTTTCTTCTAAATTTTCGTCCTTGTGAGATTTTTAGTATATTTTCTTTCCTCACAAAGACAAAAAAAAAAAAAAAAAAAAAAAAAAAAAAAAAAAAAAAAAAAAAAAACAAAGACAATCTTATTTCGGTCTGTCGGAAAGGAACAACTCCTTGACTCTATCTCTAGAAAATTTAAAAAAAAAAAAAAAAAAAAAAAAAAAAAAAAAAAAAAAAAGACAATCTTTATGCTCGGTCTGTCGGAAAGGAACACCTCCTGATCTGATCTTAGAAAATTAAATAAATAAAAAAAAGTGTCAAATTACAGTGCGGCCGTGTATATGTTGGGCTGGGTCTCATTCCTTGTCCATTTCCCTCCAGACACAGAGTAGGAAAGCAATATATACGTGAGAGACAACAATTACTAGTAACAGGAAATGGAAATGAAGACGAAGAAAGACGAGTCGGTGATTCTTGTTAATGGAATTCAAAGCCGAACACGATTTGGTTCATCATTATTCGTATTATTGTCGCTGTTGTTATTGTTAAATGCGGCGAAAGTTGCCAATGCATCGAATTCAGCTTCTGCTTTTGTACAGAACCTCATCAACTCTCAGAGGATTGTCATCTTCTCCAAATCTTACTGCCCGTAATCCCTAATTCTCTCTTCAATTTCGGTTTTTACCTTTTCGTTACACCAATTGCTATTAGGGTTTTGTTATTTGTGATTTTGGGAATTGCGGTAACCTCTATGTTTGCTTGCTTTGTGTATGATTAGATTGGGCATGAAGTAATTAGAACACTGGTTTTTCTGTTTAAAATAATGTTTAATCAATTAGAAATTGAAAGAGATTAAATTTTCAGTTCAGGTGCTTGATTTCAATTAATTTGAATTTCTTATATCATTCAGTTTTATATGGAATGATTTAGCTTGCATGCTTATACTTTCCATTCCCAATTGTTGCTGACTTCTGTGATAATGATTTCTTATTTTAAGTAACAAGGTTAATTAACTGAGAGATAATGGGAGGTAAAATAATATAGATAATGAAAAAGAAATGTGGAAAGAGGAGTTGTGCTTTTTTCTTAAAAAGAAAAATTTATTTTCCTTGCTCTAGGTATTGCTTCCGTGCCAAGCGCATATTCAGTGAACTACATGAGAAGGCTTATGTTGTTGAACTAGATCTTCGAGGTATGATGATGTATCTAACTGATTGAATGTTGTTATTTGGATGCCAAAATGTGATTCAAGATGACTTTGTTACTATGAATATGTGCAGATGATGGAGCTCAGATTCAGTATGTTCTTCTTGATCTTGTCGGGAGACGCACTGTTCCTCAAGTATTTGTGAATGGAAAGCATATTGGTGGATCTGATGGTAAGCTGCTGTGATCGATACCATCATTTTCTTATAAAACTCCCTTCCTCCTCTGGGTGTTTGCTACCCTCTGTATGTTCTTAGTTCTTGTGTTTTCATATATGGTATCCATTGGCAATTGCGTTTGCGATGTTCAATGCTTAGGAAACCATATTCTTCTGGAAGTAAGAAAGTTTTTTTGTAAAAAATAAATCAAATCAGAAGGTGCAAATTTCAAAAGTAACTCTATTCCAAACAGAGCCATTAATTGATTTTCTATTCAGATCTCAAAGATGCTGTCCAGAGTGGCAAATTGCTGGAACTTCTGGCTGAAAATTGATGGGTGGATTGGAAAGTTGAGAAACAATTGCTTCTGAGCCAAAGCTGCTTCTGGTATTAGTGAACAATATGGATGCTTTAGTATATGTTGAGAATATATTGTTTTAGCTTCATAGCATCGACAAGTGTTTATATAGAGTGTTAAGAGTTTATCAGTTTCAAAATCCGTAGTGCAGGTCAAAGAGTAGTAAGGTTTTATCATGTAATCGCATGTTGATCTGAATTAGAGGACCTTTCTTTTTTGCAATTAAAATTCATTAGTGGTGATACTGTGTTTTACATGCATTAACATGTCTCTGTATGGAAAATGCAGATCCTTAATCACCCAGATTGCCTATGAATAACTTTGTGTTTGACATGCATTATCATCTCTCTGCACAGAAAATGCAGATTGTTAATCACCCTCAGATTGCCTCTATTTTAAAAACAACTTACTAATTTTAGTTCCTACTGCAAAATGAAATTTTAGCCATTCCAGGATTGAAGACGTCTTGTGTTTCTTCTTTTTCGAACAGAATGAAATATCTTTCATTAAGGAGATACATTGTACCAACACAATAAATTTTTTTTGTTTGGTAGGAGATTTAGTGTCTTTTTTTTTATTCACTGAGCTAAAAGAACACAATTTTATATGCTGTAGAAAAGATCAGTTTGAGAGGTTGATTGGTTTAGTTTTTCTGATATCTTTATCATTAGAGAACGGAAAATTTGGTCTACAAACAAATTTTTTGTTTCGAAAGAGCAACTCAAAAAGCAATGTCAAAAGGGCATTTTTTCGAGTTGAAGTTTGATAAATTAGAGCTTTGGATGTATAGTCTGTCACCATCTGATTAAATTTGTTGCATTGGAACTTTATTTCTATGACAGAAAGTAGAGCATGCCAATTCCCAATCTTAGCACTATTCATTGACTATATCACCATAGTTTTACACAATAAATACATTTGCTTGCCTTTTTTCATTTAAGCAAAAAGTTTTGCATCCCAAAGGAAGAACAGTGGCAAAGAAAGTCAGCAGAACAGGTCTACAAGCATTTTTGGAAGATTAGTGGCCAAAACTGTTGTCTATACTATAAAGAAGAAGCTGCATATATTTGTGGCCGCCATTCACCTTTCTGTGCACTGAGCAGACCTTCTTGGTCTTTGGAGTAGGTTAGATAAACCTCCCATTTGAGAGACTTTAACAAGTTCTCGACCTCCCCGATTGCACTCGACTCATCACGAACTATCAATTTACCTCCAGGTCTCACTATCCTATCAACTTCTGCCATTACCGAAGCAAGTTTGCATCTGCAAAAATGAAACCCCAACTTTGTTTAGCTCCAAAAATGGGAAGGAACATTAATATGTTTATTATACCTTTTCTTTAGTTTGGAGAAGAGATGATCAGCATGTAGGAGATCGTAACTTCTTGGGTAAGTACTGAAGGATTCACACCAGTCATGGTATATACCAAAAAGGCCTCTCTCATATATTATAGGAAGTGTATCTGGAGAATCTATGTTCACCACATTTAGAACCCATACCTTAAGGTCCATAAGAGCAGCTGCAAACCTGGATTCATTCAAAAAAGGGTATTTTCTTTATGAGAATCCTCATAATAGCTGAACAAAGTGCATAAATATAAACCGAATCATTAGTCATTACCCTCCATAAACAGCTCTCATGTCCATTATATTTCTCACATTGGACCAACTTATACCTAAACCCTTCATGTATGACTTGCGCACTACATGTTTCCAATGTTCATAATCTGTGGCAAAATCTTGAGGAGCTGGTTTGCCATAGATTCCCATTTGAGAACTATTTAACCAGTAAGGAGGTGCATGTACCCTCTTTGGCCAATTTTCCGGCCATCGAGTCCCTCTTTCGCTGCTGTCAACCGGTACCTGATGCATGCACGCTTGCAGAGGTACATACCTGATAAACAAATTGCCATTGTTAGGAATATAAATTAGTATAGTACCTGAGAATTTAGGTTGAGTAGTTTCTTGAATGAGAAATCTTACCAGGCAGCGTTTGGATCATCATCACTCTTACACATGGGAGGATTGTTTTTCTTCCTTTGATTATAGCAATCATTAGTCGTAGGTTTCCGGTATATGGCAGCAGCAATTGAATTGAGTTTGTCCTTTTTGATTGTTATACGCTCCCAACACATTGATCTAGTCAATGCAGACATTGCTAAAAGAAATCGATAAGAGTCAAAAAATGGTAAGAAGGCCAAAAGGCAATTATACAATCAAACAAAAAAAATTATTCTTATATTTGTGTTCTGCAACAGCTATTTTAAGTAGTTTTAACATTTTGATTAAACGCTATTTTTTAATGTATTCAATAACATATCGTTTGAAATAAGAGATTAACTCCTATTAAATTTAGCTTTTAGCATTTTCCAAAACAAATTAATTTTGTCAACCAGACCCTATATATCTTTTCAGAAAAAAAAAAAAAAAAAAAAATCTTAGATATCTATTCTGAAAAAAAAAAAAAAAAAAAAAAAAAAAAAAAAATCTTAGCTACCTTGCCATATCGCCACATCTTCTGGAAGCTTTTGATACACTGGAGTTGCAGACCAAACAAAATATCCTCCAGGTCTCAGGATACGATTCAATTCCAGAAGTAGCATACCATCTGAACCAATATATCATCTTAATTAGGTTTATCACCATGAAAAAATCCAAAAATAATAATAATAATAAAGAAACGAAGTAGAATTATATATATGATCACCATCTGCGTGCCAAGGCACTCGACAACGTGCACAATGCAGAAGATCAAAGACTCTGCTTGGAAATGGAAGGCGTTGAGAACCCATAACGGCAGAAATAGCAGGAATTCCTCTTTCAAGAGCAAACTGAACTTGAGCTTCATGTTCATCTTTTGGTGCAAAGGACATTGTAAGAACATCCTTGTCAAATAGGTAACCACCAAAGCTTGCAACTCCACACCCAACATCTAAAACCACTCTAGTATGCTTTCCCCATTCAATATTTGGCACTGCCTGCATCAAATTCATAATATGTTATTCAAATCAGAACGATTTTTCTTCCTTTTCTATATATATATATATATATATAATATATTATATATACACACCAACACAGTATATATATATATATACACACACACAGACACAGAGTTAACCTATCAGTGAAGGTGACACTATGAAGGAAGAAATTTGACCTGTTGGAGAAAGTCAATGTAGTGGAGAGCTCCATGTATGAACTGAGTGCCACCACCTGGGAAGGTCAAGAACTCACCTGTCACCTTAACCCAATTTTGATGTCCTTTCACCTCTGCCAACTTAGTATGAGGTACATTATTATACCATATCTGCCATATCACAATAAAAAAAAATGAAAATAACAGTATACCGAGTGTATTTAATCTAAACATTAAAGGGCGGCGCAATACACAAAACATCCTATATTCGTAGGCTCTGCTAGGAAGGATTGATGTACGTAACCTTTCCCTAGCTTTTGGAAGAAGGCAGTTTCTTTAATGTTACATCAAAGCCACCTTCATCTAATTTAATTCATAAAAAATAAAATGAAAACTGCAAAGGTTAATTAAGCATCTTCAAGACGTTACATACCTTATCTCTGCTTGCAGGCCATGGAATAGATTTTTTATATCCTTCAGGAATTGGAACCAAACAAGTAGGTCCTTCTTCAGGACAATGTCTCTCTCTATGCTCAAAATGTCTTGTACTCCTTAACTTCTTTAGTTGTTTGTCATTGTCCAAACAAGGTATATAATCAGCACCTGTTGTTACATTACAAAGCTGCCATATATATCCATATATATTATCTTTACCCAATTCTTCTTTTCGTCTCTCTTTCTGGTTTTCTGATTCAGTTGCTTGAGTAGACCAAGAATTCTTCGACTCCTTGGATTCTTTGGGTATTCCTGCAGAAGCCCCACCCCCAAGAATTGAAGCTTCAGCTGAGTTCGTCTCAGTTGGTGACTTATCTTCCACTGTTGTGTGTTGTTGAGTTTTCGTCTTCTCTATGGCTTTTTCAGATTTTTTATCTCCATATTGTTTTTGTTGCTTTTCTTTTGGCTTTTGTTGTTGTTGTTGTTGTTGTTGTTGTTGTTGATCTTCTTCCGATGCATCATTTTGAGATCCTCTAGAAGTGACAATTTGGATTCCTGCATCTTCTTGTAGTTGCTGTTGTTGTTGCTCTTCATATGATTTAGTATTGTTGTTGCTCTTCATATGATTTAGTATTTTGTGATTCTTCTTGTTGTTGCTGTTGTTGCTCTTCATATGATTTAGTATTTTGTGATTCTTCTTGTTGTTGTGATTCTTGGATGTGTGATTCTTGATTCAGAGGTTCCTGTGAAGTTTTAGTGCTCTTCTCAACATTTTCTTGCTGTTGTTCTTGTTCTTGTTGTGATTTTTCACCAGTTTCAGTTGTTATATTGCTTTGTTCTTGATTTCCATTGCTACTTCCTTGCTCAGCTTCAGAATTTTCTTGGCTATTTTGATCAACTTGTTGTCTCTGAGTTAATGTACTCTCCTCAGATACCTGACTCGGTCACTAAACAGGTTTAGCTCGATCCGTACACTTTGCAGTTGTTTAAAATTACACTTTCAGATGTCTTTACAATTCAGTTATTTTAGGTCTAAATGATATATACACACACATAAATCATTTATTATATAAAAATCCCTTATTTCGATTTTATGAAAATTCGAATCAAACTAAACTAAATGTTCACCTTTAAACTAAATGACTATTACATTCGTATACAGAGAGTATGATATATATACATTCGTATACAGAGAGATATGATTATATTATATATAGTATAATAATAATAATAGTATTATCATATAAAATAATATCACCTCATATATAAAATAATAACTCGGGGTTACAAATACATTCATAATTCATGTGAATGCTAATATTTGTATACTATAAGGACTTTATGCATCTAATATTTTTTATTATTATTATTTTTCACAAATACAATTTCATTAACTCTTATATTTGTATATTTAATAAAGATCAGTTTATGTAAGGCGAAATAATAACTTCATTACCAGAAATTTTAAAGGAAAAAAAAAAGAAGAAAAAAGAAAAAGAAAAAGGATACCTTAGTCTTTCTTTCTCTCTGCTTCTCTTGGTCTTCACTAGACCTTTTCCCTTTCAAATCCTGTGAATTCTCTTCACCACCAGATTCTTGTTTTCCATTACTGCTCGGCTGATCACTACTGGTTTTAGGATCATCATCAGATTTTATAGCATCAGCAGGAAGATCCCCTGGATTATCTTCATAAACAGGTTGATCTTCTTTTTTATTACTACTGCTTTCATTATTTTGATTCTCACGAGAAGAAGAAACGTCATTATCCTCCACAACCACAATGGCTGACACCGGGGTGACTTTGCCGGTGCGGGTGGGGGTTTGTGGTGTTGGAACTACGGCGTTTGAGGTGACCATCCATACGCCTATAACACAAACTGCTATAAATGCTATAGTAGTAATGGTTGATGTGTAGGAGGAAGAAGATGAAGATGATGAGGTACGCTTACTTGTACGAGACCTGCCTAAAGGCATTGTTATGGATTTTGGGTAGAAAATAAGGAGAAAGGAGAGTATATGAAATGAAAGTGAGATTTTGTTAAGGCAAAGGAGAGGTTTTAGGAGTAATAAAAGTTGATTAAATGATAACAAATTTTTCTATTCTAATGTTAGAACTTATCAAAGATCCTTAGGAGTCGGATAAGGAAATTTGTTAAAAGAGTTGTAAGATTGGGACCATACTTCGTGTGTGCTCTCGATTTTTATTTTATTTTATTTTTTTCTCATGAAATTTTACTTTTGTTTTTCACATTCGTTCATTGGACCGAAATAACATGATGAGCTACATAATAGATAGCCCTCTTCCTAATTCATCAAATTGGTGAAAACTCTTTTAGTCAACAAAAGAACCTGAAATCGAAATCTCTCACTCTTCACATAAGTTTATTTTATTTTATTTTTTTCTCATGAAATTTTACTTTTATTTTTCACATTCGTTCATTGGACCGAAATAACATGATGAGCTACATAACAGATAGCCCTCTTCCTAATTCATCAAATTGGTGAAAACTCTTTTAGTCAACAAAAGAACCTGAAATCGAAATCTCTCACTCTTCACATAAGCAACAAGACCAATGAGACTATCTATGTCTATCTTTCTATCTATATATCTATCTATCTATACTATACATAAAAGTGGAAATGAGGCTATCTATGTCTATCTGTCTATCTATATATCTATCTATCTATACTATACATAAAAGTGGAAATGAGGCTATCTATGTCTATCTGTCTATCTATATATCTATCTATCTATACTATACATAAAAGTGGAAATGAGAATGTATTTTTTATATTATCTTGTGTAAATTTAACGTATACTTTAAAATAATACTTTATCGAGCCAATTAAAAAAATTTTTATATATAGTTAATATATAAAAATTTTATAGGATGTTTTTTCACTTTTTTTTAATAGATTAAATCGATATTAGATAATTTAAGCATTTGAAATTAAAGATTTTTTACCAATTATTATCTTATTATCTCTAATATGTTTTATTGTCATCGTATATTATTGCTATAATTATAATTAATTTAATAATTATTATTATTTTCATTGTTTTTTATTTTATTTATATTATTTAATATATCTCAACTTTATCTATTCTTAAATGAATAATGTAATACGGAACGTCTTTGAAATTTTATTTTTTTTCAAATTTATTTTAAATAATTATCTAATAATAAGATTTATTTAAAAAGAGCGAGTTAATTCTTTTTAATAAAAAATATTACCCTAATTTGGTTGCGCCCAAAAAATAGATAAAAAATGTGTATTTTTAAAACATTACGAATCTCGATTTAATTATGTTGAGTATCTTATTAAATTCAAATTAATAAACTCTCTTTCTGCATAAAGAAACATAATTCTTTTATAAACTTTAAATGCAATTTCATTAATTTTGACTTGGCTAAAAAAAGTAAAGATTGATTATTACTTATTTAAATATGAATTTGATTATATTACGGTTAGTTTCTTATTCTATTGTCTAAAATATATTATTTACTAAAAGAAGATTATATGGAAAATTATTAACAAAATTGTAAAGTTAATTATTGAAAACGTTAAATTAAATTTTAATATGATGATTTTTATAACATTAATTGTAGCTTAAATAAAAAAATAAGCAACTAGTGTATAATAAAAACTATATAAATCAGAATATAAATGACATGTTTCATATTTAAATTACTATTTTAAAAGAAGAAACAAATATATCAATTTTTTTCAATGATATATTATAGTGCAAGACATATAACTAAAAAATAAATTTTACTGTATATATAAAAATCATTATATTTATTGGAATCTACATAAAAATTTATACTTTAATTACATAAATAGAAAAGTTAAACGAGTATAAAAAATTAGCATAAAAAAATAGTACTATATAAATGTGGGAATGAGGAATAATAGGATTTCTGATAGCGCCCTTGATGAAATTTTAATATCTTAAAATAACTTTATTCATGCGTAATTAAAAAATTATATTTTATTAATTGATTGGATATAAGTTATTAAAATTAGTTATTAAATAAATTCATATAGATAATTAAGTATTTTAAAATTTTTTTTTTAAAAAAAAAAAATTTGTTTAAAAAGATAATTAAGTATTTTAAAATTTAAAATTTATCTTTATTAAATTTATTTTTTAATAAATATATATAATAGCGAGACATTTGAAAATTTTTAAATTTTTATATTTATTTTTCATAAAAGTTTTAAATATTTGATTTTATTTTTACTAAAATTTAAAATATTTTATTTAGGAGATACATAAAAAAAAGTATTTTTTTATGATATTTTTTTTCTTTACGTTTGTATAATTTGATTGGATACATATTTTTAAAAATAAAATTTTAAATTTAATACACATAATTAAGCCTTTAAAAATTTTAAATTTTTATTTTTTAAATTTATTTTTAAAGAAAATAAAAAAAAATTGTAAGTCGAATGTCCAACAATTGAAAATTTTAATTTAAAAGAAAAATAATATTTTATTATTATTATTGTTGTTGTTGTTTTTGTTGTTGTTGTTGTTGTTATTTAGACATGATATTTTAGAATTGTGCACATACAGTTATGATGAATTTTAGATAAATGACGATATAAATTGAACTGAAATGTACATATATATACTATTGTTTTATTAATTAAGTGTTATATTCACATTAATTTCATATGCATTTTATTTTGTTAACATTATAAAAAATCTAAATAATATAAGACAAAAATTACAATTAATATTTGATTTAAAAAATGAAAAAAAAATATAATAACAAGTAAAAGTAGAGGTGGGCACTGTACGGTTTCAATCGATTTTTCGACCTATACCAAACCAATTCAGTCTATTTAGTTCGATTTTCGAGTTATTCGGATAGGTTCGGTATGATATGAATATATATTCGAGTATTTGGTTATTAGTTCAGCTGCATAGAAAGAAACTCGAATAGTTCACTTAAACTAAAAAACAAAACACAATATTTTAAGTTAAACTTATCTTATATATTTTATCTATTTTTTTAGGTTTTCACGTAAATCGTTCACGTCTACTCAAAGATTTAGCCTATAGCTCACTTAAAGACATAGTCTATGACGCTATGCTTCTGCTACATAACTAATATCTCTGGCTATCTCCCTCTCATCTCACTCATCTAGTTCCAAATTTCAAGTCTCCAACAACACTACCACAATTTCAAGTCTCCAACAACACTATACTACACAACTACTAATTTTTCCTGGTATTTTTTTTTATTTTTTATTTTTTATACCTTTATTTTGTTATTTATTATTTAGTTTTCTTCATGATTTTCAATTTCCTAAGTTTTCTTCATGATTTTTCAATTCCCTAACACTGGTTATGCTTTCATTGATAAGAACAAAATCAACAAGTAGAATATATATTTATATATATTGTTTTCTTTTTCTGTTTCTTTATTACATAAAAAATAATGATTCATAATCGAATAGTCCGAGTCAAAATAAATCAGTTCGATTTGGTTTCAGTTTCTATTTTGATCAGTCAGTTTGCTATGCTTTTAATTCGGTTCAATCGGTTTTTGAGTTTATTTGACCCGGTTTGAACCGAATCAACTAAATGTCCACTCCTAAGTAAAAGTGAATAATGGGCAATGATATAAAAAATTGAACAAGTATGAATAACGAATATAGTCAACATACAACGTAGATTATAAGAAGACTAATCTATATAAATATATAAAAATAGAAGCATATTTATTTACATGTCACAAAATAAATATATTGAAGTGTGAAGCTCGCAAAAGAAACAATTTTTAAGGTGCTAAGTGTTAAGAATTAATCTCAAATAATTCAATAATAACCTAGATCGTGCAAACCACTAGATTCAACAAAATAGATTGAATAAGAAAAGGTTGCGTACCTAAAAGGTTGCGTACCTGACATCGGTTTGTTCCGTCGACTTGATGTATAGAATAGGTTTGCAGCCTTCCAGAGCAATTGGAAAGAATCGATTTAGCGGAAGCAAATACGAAAAGTAACCGTAAAACATGAATGCGTAATTCAAGCTCCTCTGGGACCACGACCTTTATAATACCTGTAGGTTAGTACAACATTCCTATTCGGTCCTTTACGAAAATAGGATTAATATAGGTCCTCACCTTAATATCCTATAATTAGTTGATACTCATGTCAATTATTCACAATCAAGACCGACATTTAAATTATTACAATTAGACTGGCCTGTACAATTTAATTTTACAGTATTAAGCCCACAATAGAAAATTAAACCACAATCTCCCATTGGACTATGTTAAATAAAATACATACACCAAAATGAGCTCAACAAACGCAGTCATACGAGGTATCCAAAAACAATCTCGTCCATTAATTATATTGATAAAGAGCTGAAGAAACATTCGCCATAGATCTTATGACTAAGTTCATCATCAACTACCTTACCAATACCCCTAAATGACACAGATTCATTATAGAAGTGTAGGATGAAAACTAAATGTAATGTGATCATCATGTTTGTTTCCAACTGGTCACCAACAAAAGTGAGATCAAGCAAAACAATAATAATACAGAGTGTAACCATCAACCAAAATGAGTACTCAATAAAATTTCATCAACATAATAAAACATATCCAAAACAAAATAGAGCATTCAAAAACATAAAACATAAATGTTACATAAAGAGCAACTCCCACTAAAACTAGACAGTCTCAAACAAAAACGATTAACCCCATATGAAGCGGTGCGCTCATAAAACTTTCGGTATCACTGCCTTTGTAAGCGGATCCGCAATCATAGAGTTTGTTCCAATATGCTCTAAGGATATCTGTCCACTCTGTACCCTCTCCTTCGTAGCCAAGAACTTAATGTCAATGTGTTTTGATCGAGAAGAGCTCCTGTTGTTGTTGGAGAATAAAACGACTGACCTGCTGTCACAATACAACTTCAGTGGTCTTTCTATTCCACCTACTACACGCAGCCCAGTGACAAGGTTTCTCAACCAAATAGCTTGATTGGATGCCTCATAAGATGCTACAAATTCAGCTTCCATGGT